TGTGCCTGCCGTCCTGCTGACAACTGGAGGGAACAGAATAAGCAGGAAAGGGGACCTGTTCCTGCCAGAACATGGACGCTACTCATAGAAGGAGGCTATGGATGAAGGGAAAACTCAAGGTCACGTGCCCTTTTCCACTGATCCCAATGAAGTCTTTGAAACTCAAGGGCCATTATATCTATACAACACATCATCCAAGCGCTTGGTACGTGTTAAGGATTCTTCCGCAGTACTTTTTGAACCAAGATCCATTGGTTTTACTGCCAAGAAACAGATGCCAAATGGGGGTCATGGGCAATGCCACAGATCCATTAGTGTAGCTCATGGTTAACATGGGGCAGGGAGCTCTCCTAAGGAAACGACCCCGCAAGTCCTCCAGTCGGTGCCATTCAACTTACCTTTCTTTTAAACTGAGTCTCCATCAAACCGTGCAGCACATTAGGAAGGGTGCCGTTTCATTTTTATTGAAATTTCTGGAATGAGTTTTTAAATGTCCATTATTTCAGAAGAGATTTTAAATGCACTAATCGGTACATTCCGCAAAGAGCTATTCACGAAGCTCCGAGAGCCTGCAGTGGGTGCTGGGAGTAGCATCCATCTATTCCTCCCAGGAAACGTTTTGCAAGGTCAAGGAGGGGAGAAGAGAGGTTGGCTTGCTCTGAGAGTGTTGGAACACTTGCTTTCAGTCTTTGGGACGTGATGGGGTGGGTCCAGTGGAGATTCTCTCCAACATTGGAAAGAGGATCTGGGTACTGTGTGCACAATTATAGTGTTGGTTGGATTCCAGGACAAATCAAAAAAGAAGGAAGAGAAACAGAGGCTCACGGTCGCAAACAGATAAACAGAAAGGTCCATTGAGGCAACTGTTGGGCACATCGGTCCTGTCTACTGCAACTCTTTCTCCACTTCTAAAAACCCACCCTAAGAGAACGAAATGATTTCCTCTCCATGCCTGTTCTTGCCTGTCTTCTGTTTAAATGTGAATACTCCCTGCAGGGTGGGCTCAATTTTGTGAAAAAGAAAATCTCCCTACAGGTGTGAGCCTGCAGGCAAAAACCTGAAGGAGCGCCTCTAAAAACAAGAACTCAGTGTGATTATGGGAGATTGTGAGTTTATCCTTCAATATATTTTCCGAAGTTTCTCTGACTAGGTGTGAATTCGTTTCCTAGGGCTGCCATAACAAGGTACCACAATCTGGGCGGCTGAAAACAGTAGAAATTCACTGTCTCACAGTTCTGAAGGCTAGAAGTCTGAAATGGAGGTGTCATCGGGGCCAGGCTCTTTCCAAAGCCTCTAGGGACGAATCCTTCCTTACCTCTGCTGGTGGTGGGTGTCCCATCTTTGCTGTTTCTTGGCTTATCAGGTGCATCTTTCCAATCTCTGCCCCTGTCATCGCACGGCATTCTCCCTGTGTGTCTCTTCTCTTCTTCTTATAAGGACCAGTCATTGGATTAAGGGACCCTGCTGCTCCACTAGGGCCTCATCTTAACTAATTACACCTGCAATGACGCTATTTCCAATCAGGTGGCATCCTGAGGTACTGGGGGTTAGGACTTCAGTCTGTCTTTTGGTGGTGGGGGGGGACACAATTCAATCCATAACAAGGTATTTTCAGGAAAACAGACATTCTTTTCCTGCTCCTGGGGCAGAAGAGTCAAGAATTAAATCTCTAGAAAGAGTTGGGGGTTTCCTTGGTGGTGCAGTGGTTGGGAGTCCGCCTGCCGATGCAGGGGACGCGGGTTCGTGCCCCGGTCCGGGAGGATCCCACATGCCGTGGAGCGGCTGGGCCCGTGAGCCATGGCCGCTGAGCCTGCGCGTCCGGAGCCTGTGCTCCGCGACGGGAGAGGCCACGACAGTGAGAGGCCCGCGTACCGCAAAAAAATTTTTAAAAATTAAACAATTACAGTTTATAAAGAGTTGGTTGCCATTGTCATACCCTTTCCACCCTTCCTCCGAAGAGGGAGGCAAAGAAAAGCCTGCAAGTGCAGGTGGGAGCAGCAAAGTTCCCCAAGAGCAACCACACCTGGGCCCGGGCTTGCCCCTTGCCCTGGCCCTGTGCCAGGGGATATGCTTCAGCTGAGCTGAGTTTCCTGTCAGCGCCATCCAGAAACAACACTCTGTTTCACATTCCACACTTCACCAAGGGCAAGCCTCCTGAAGCATAAACAAATGCAATCCAGCTATCAGTGAGGTTCTGCCCAAGGGGCAGGATTGACACACAGTAGGGAGAGAGAGCCTCCACTTGGGTAAGGAGGGGCAGAAAGCCTGGGAGGGCTCTATGCGGGCAGTGGCTCGGGCCGGGCGGAAGGAAGGATGCAGGAGTTTGCGGGTCAGATGCAGAGAAGGACTCGGGAGAGCGGCAGGGTCCTGGCACCCACCCTTGTGACTCCTGCTTCTTGGAAAACTTCTCTTCCTTTAGTCCCTGGGAAATGACAGCATCCGAGTCTCTTCTTGCTTCTCTGTCCAACTTACTGGTCCTACGTCCTCAACTGGAGGCCTGTCCCAGGGCTCCACCCTTGGCTCTCATAAATCAGCCATCAGACAATGTCTCCTCTTCCAGGATTTCAGCCCAGCCCCTCTGCAGAACAGCCTGAGGTGTGATTCCCAGCCCGTATTCATTGCCCAGCCCCCAGCCGGTGTCCCACCCATCATGCTGGGCCCTGGGCACTTTCAGGTTCAAAACAGAAGTCCTCCTCCTCCCTCCCTCACTCTGCCCCCAAGCCAGCTCCCCTTCCCAACTTCTCTCTTGTCTAGCCCTCTGATCTGACATTTGAAAACTCTGTAGCTTTGGCCACCTTCTCTCCTTTAGCCCCACTATTTAATCAAGCAACATAGCTTGATTTCTCTTTGTTTTGAAATTATCACCCATATTTTCCCTTTCTCTGTCATTTCTGAGGCTTGATCCAGATGTCAGCTTCATGCAGTGGTTCTCAAAGTGTGGTCCCCAACCGGCACCATCCGCATCACCTGGGAGCATGTTATACAGTTTCCCAGGCCTCGCCCAGACCTAGCATCAGAAGGGGTGGGGCTCAGCCAGCTGCATTTTAACAATCCATCCAGGTGATGCTGATGTATCCGAGTTGGAGAAGCAGTGGATTAGTGCAAGAATGTCTCGTGAATCCTCCATAATCCATCCTGGATGTGGCTATCAGATTAATTACTTACAGTCTTCATTATGGCCAAGTCTCCGCTCCAGAACCAACAGTGGCTCCCAACTGCCTGGCGCATGAAGGCTAAACTCCACTTAGCTTCTGAAGCTTCATTTTCGGGTTCCATCTCTCCCAACTTGTTCTCACTAGACTGGCCAAGACACTGCACTCCAGTTGTGAATGTCCGCTGTATATTGGGTTGGCCAAACTGTTCGTTCAGGTTTTTCCATAAGACCGTATGGAAAGGCCCGAACGGACTTTGTGGCCAGCCCAATATGTGCCTGGCTGCCGCCGCCCACCCACCCAGCCCTAACCAAGGGCTGGATTAGGACCTTTAGAAGCCCTAAACGGTGAAAAGCGGCTGGCGCCCCTCTCTCAGGCGGAAATAAAAATAAACATAAAACTACTCAGCACTAAAATAATCATGGAGAAGTCAACCACATTACTGATTCTTCCCCGTATTGATTGGTTTGCTGCTTTAAAAATGTATTTATCAAATCCATTTTTTAAAGTTAAATTTGGTGCCACTCTGCCTTCTGCTGCTCCAAGTTCATGCTCGATATCTCTGATGACTCCAGGTCTGCCTCTGGAGATCCAAATCCTACTCGCTGTTGAGGGCTCTGCTCATTTTTATGAGCCAAAGTGGATAAACGAAGGAATAAATGAGCAGTCTTGTCTGCTCAATGAGCCAGAGAGAAGGCATTTTGTTTTTGTTTTTGTTTTTGTTTTGGCGGTACGCGGGCCTCTCCCGTTGCGGAGCGCAGGCTCCGGACGCGCAGGCTCAGCGGCCATGGCTCACGGGCCCAGCCGCTCCGCGGCATGTGGGATCTTCCCGGACCGGGGCACGAACCCGTGTCCCCTACATCGGCAGGCGGACCCTCAACCACTGCACCACCAGGGAAGCCCGAGAGAAGGCATTTTGTATTTTATTTCTTCTGTCTTTTCCCCCTTCAACACCTAAACAGTAGGAGAGTAGTAAGTCCTAGCTGACTGCAGGGTCCCTGCTTTTTGTCCCTTTGACCGCTGAATATAATCATCTCTCCTCTAATGCCTAGACCCATTTTTTCAGAATCCTTTCAGTCAGCAGGTACCTGCTAAGTGCTCACAGGAAATGACAGTTTCCCGGAGGCGTGAGGCTCTATACATTAGCAAAGATACCACGAGACAGGTGAGAATCATACCTGTATGACACTTCCCCAAAGTTTAAAAGGCTCCTTTTCAAGTGAATCAATCAGTGCTCAGTGTTCGAACATCATTTATAAACCCAGCCCCACCTAAATGCCAAATACCTAAGACCTTTTAATAAATGTTTTCGCAATAAAGATGTTCCTATTTAGAAATAACTGTAATGTAAATGATACATTTGACCCACAAAGAATAATTCTTTGGAGCTGAAGTTTTTCCTGGAGAGTAAATGGTGATCATTGACTTGGTATGGTCCACAGGACCCTGCGGAAAGAGGTGTACACATTTTTGAACAACCGTGTGAAAGACAGATCCCAGCAAGCCGTGGACATCTGTCCAGCTACTGCCCCGTGGCCACGTCTCAGATGGAGTCACTGAAATTGCCCCACCCTTTTCTCTCCTCTCTCCTAAGCACGTTAACCGACCTCCCCAGCAGGCTGACTCCACAGCCCCTAGACTCACCCCCCATCAATGGGTTGGAAAGGAGCCTGACGTCCGGAGAGTCTTCCAGCCTCGGGGGCTTGCTGCCGTTGCTGCCCCGTGGTTCACCATCCATGGTGCTCTCCTGGGCTGGGCAAGCTCCGCTTCAGTTGTTCAGGGAAAGTCCAAATTCCATGCTCCCCCAGCTCCTGGGAAATTCCAGGGCTGTGACTGGCTGGGCAGCACCGTCCTGGTCAGATGGCAGAGAACAGGGCAGGGTAATCTGAATACTACCTGTGGTCAGACAGACACACGTACACACACGCTGTCTCTCCACCTAACTGGCTAGAGGCTGCCCAAAGCCCACAGCAGCCCCCCAGCCCCAAGTCTGCAAAGTTGCTGATGTCACGTCCTTTCCAAAACTGAGACCAATCAGGGAGGAAGCCTTGAGGTTCCTCAGGAAGGAAACACAGTATGTAACTTTGGGAGAGCCCAGGGTTAGGGTGTGCGGGAGCGGGCAGGAAAGCACTGGTCTGCTGGAACGTTGTTCCCCCTGCTGGGATCCGGTTGTTGTTTGGGGGTTTCTTGTTGTTGAGACAAGCCGCAGAACCCAGGAGCTGAGAAAGCTGGTTTTGCTGCAGCCCTGCTGAACTGCTTGCACAGCAACTTACACAGCACGCCCTGGCCATCTGCACATGTGGTTTCAATTTTTCTGGGAGTTGCTTATAGGAAAAAGTCTCTATACGTTACAAAAATGCACGTTTGGAAAGAACCTCTGTTTTCTTCCTCTGACTGCCAGGGTTGCGCTAAATGTCCCACTCACCCTCCTCCAAAATAATTCAGGGTTTTGCTATCGCAAAAACAAAAATGGATTTGCTGGGCGGCAGGGAGCGCTGAAGGAGAGCTGCTATCTTTCAATGATTCGTTATAAAAAGTTTTACTTTGTGAAGGTTCCGCCTATTCGCCTTTACAAAACATTTGGGGTTTTGTCTGTGTGTTTTCAGATAAACCCCGTTTCCCTGCACCACCTGGTGCTGGTTCAGGCTGATGGCCACCCCCGGACTCCCCCCCCTCCTCCCCGCACCCAGCTCCTCTCTTCCAGGTAGAAAGGGATTTTTCTTCCCTATTCAGGAAGTCTCTGAGTTCTTCTCAAGCAGAGCCTGGCTATGAAATAATTGCAGATCATTTTTAACGCCAAAGATACAGCCTTACTGTTTTGGATTTATGAAGCCTCAGTTGACCCACGTGCTAGCCACTATTTACAGCTTGAGGAATGTCCTTCATATTTTAAAATGCATTTCCATGCACACATGTATGTGGATACACATTCATTCCTTTACATTTTCCACATAATTGTAATTAGATTATCCTATATGCTTTTTACATTTGTCTTGGAGATCTTTCCATTTCAGCAGAATAGCTCTGTCCCTTTATTTACTACTGCATAGCATTCCATAAATATTTCATGCCAAAAGTATTTCATTATTCCCCTAACGATGGAAGCAGAATGTTACCATTTTCTTTTACTACTACAAAAATACTGCAGTCCATAGATCTCTCCATATGGCTTCGTGCGCATATTGAAACCAAGTCCCCCTAAAACTGAGTTCCTCCACCAAGTTTATGATTAACCTCTGTCCAAAATTTTATTCCCTTTCTTGTCCTGAACCTGTTTCCCTCAGACTGAGGCGTATCAAAGACAAGGGGGGATTTAAGCCATGTACAAGCCCCTGTGTCCCTGTCCTTTGAAGTAAAAGCCTTTTGCTTTAGTCTCCCAGGCCTCCCTGAGTCTCAAAAGACTGTCTCAAGAGCTAATGATTGGGAAATGTGAAGGTATAGAAACAAAGAATATTATAATGTGGGGTGGGGAAACTGGTGACACTTTAGACTATAAACCAGCTACCCAGCAGAATCACTGAACTCTCAGCTCCCTAAAAGATACAGCTAAAGGTCTGACACACATGCCTAAGCTGTGCAGGAAGCAGACTTGCACCAGATGAAAACTGCTGACTGCAAGCATGTAGACCCTAGACTGGTCAAAACCTGAAGGTTGACGATGCTTGAAACTTCATCTTGATGCCAGCCAATCCAAGAATTGTGCACGAGCTCATCAGGCAAGCTGCAGCGCCCTCCCTCACACTGCCTTTAAAACCCCTCCACTGAAGGCCATTGGAGGGTTTGGGTCATTTGAGCATGAGCTACCCGTTCTCCTTGCTTGGTGCCCCACAATAAACGCTATACTTTCCTTCACCACAACCTGGTGTCAGTAGATTGGCTTTACTGCACAGGCGAGTGGCCCCAAATTTGGCTCAGTGACAATATGCAAATATTTCTGGAGGTGAGATTCCTAAGAGTGGACATGCTGGGTCCAAGTTGTGCTCATACACACTTGATCATTTCTATGGAACTAAAGACACACACAAGAGTGGGTACAGGGTTTCCCTGGTGGCGCAGTGGTGGAGAGTCCGCCGGCCGATGCAGGGGACACGGGTTCGTGCCCCGGTCCGGGAAGATCCCACATGCCGCGGAGCGGCTGGGCCCGTGAGCCACGGCCGCTGAGCCTGCACGTCCGGAGCCTGTGCTCCGCAACGGGAGAGGCCACAGCAGTGAGAGGCCCGCGTACCGCAAAAAACAAAAAGAGTGGGTACAAGTCAAACGAGAATCCCAAATGAGATCAATGGATGGTCTCAATGTTGATTTCCTGGTTGTGATATTGTACTACAGTTCTTTTGTTTTTTTGTTTTTTTTTAATTTATTTTTGGCTTGTTGGGTCTTCGTTGCTGAGCACGGGCTTTCTCTAGTTGCAGCAAGCGGGGGCTACTCTTCGTTGCAGCGCAGAGGCTTCTCATTGCAGTGGCTTCTCTTGTTGCGGAGCACGGGCTCTAGGCACGCAGTCTTCAGTAGTTGTGGCTCGCAGGCTCTAGAGCACAGGCTCAGTAGCTGTGGCACACAGGCTTAGCTGCTCCGTGGCATGTGGGATCTTCCCGCACCAGGGCTTGAACCCATGTCCCCTGCATTGGCAGGCGGATTCTTAACCACTGTGCAACCAGGGAAGTCCTGTACTACAGTTTTGCACAAAGTTATCATTGGGGAAAACTGGGCAAAGCTATAGGAGATCTTTCTGTATTATTTCTTGCAACTGCATGTGAATCTACAATTATTAATTAATTAAGCTGTTCACTTAAAATTGAAACACTGCCAAACTGCCCTCCAGCTCTATTTGCAGAATTAACCGAGAAGGCCATAGCATATACATTGTTCACTGCTGCGTCAGGAAAGATTTGAAGAACGATGCAACTTCTGTTTGGCAGAGAGGGAGAAATTTACTCCCAATGTAGACTGCTGACAAGGAGTTAAACAGAGGGGTGCAGTGGGAAAGCTAGATACCATTCCATTCTTTCTGAGCAAAATCTTCATAGTAGAGCTTCTTTATTTACTTTTCATTAAATTCCAAGAAGATAAGGTTTTTGCATATTCAAATTTAACTTGATTGCCCAAAATGACAATAAAGATTTCCAGGTTGTTGCCTTAGTACCTGGGAGGGAATTAATCACCATTTTATCTTCTCATTATATTTATAATGTTGATCAACACCTGTGGACATTGGAGGATGGGAACTGATTTTTTTTAAACTATTTAACAGCAGTTCTAGTCAGGAATTAGAAAACCATTACAAGGGAAGTTCATGCATTTTTAAGGATCTGCATGGGGATAAAGTTGAATTACATGTATATGAGCTGGGATTATAGAGAAATAGGTTGGCTTACAAAAAGCCACAAGAGCAGAACAATCTTACCAGCTTCGAGACAGTCTCTCTGTGTGTCTGCATGTTCAGGAAACTTGGCCCAGGTTAGGTAAGAAAAAAGAATTCTGGCCTGTAGCAGCAGTAAGGCCATAATCTTCTTTGTCAGGTGCAGACTTAACACTAGCCACTACCCCACCCCTAGATGTCCATGGCTGACATCATTCATGGATTATAAGACTTTCCTCCCGAGGCCTTGAGGAGCCTTGACAGTCACCTCCAATCAGTCGAAGCTGGCCCAGGAGCTGAAACCTCTTGTCAATCCAGCTGGCAATTTTTCTAGCACAAAACCTTTAAAAACCTAAAGGTGCACATCTCCTCTGGTCATTTGGAATGATCTGCTTTTCCTGCGAAACTCCTATCTGAGTTGTGCTCACCTAACTGGCTCTGCATGCTGAGCTGGCTGATGTTGTGACTTTAGAAAGCTGTCACTCATTCTTATTCCATAGACCAGCGCGGTAAGATTCAAACAAGGGTGTGTTTTAAAAAAATCTGGCATGATGCAGTATTCTTGAGGAAACCATTGGGCAAATAGAAATTGAGAGAGAGTCTCCATAACAATAAGTGTGAACTCTTCAAAAATGCCAGTGGGGTGGGGTAAAAGACAAAAGTGGTGGAAGAGCTTTCCAGATGAAAGGAGAATGAAGACACTTGATCATTATATGTGATGATTCTTGACTGGATCCTGATTGCAGAGGACAAGACATAAAAGACATCAAAGCCACAACCATGGAAATTTAAATACAGACATATATCGGATACTCATAGTACATCAATGTCAAGTTTCCCGTGTGTGATCACTGCATCACCCGCAGTTATGTCAAAGAAGCTGTGTTCTTAGGAGATGCTCGCTGAAGTGGTCAGTACAGAGCCGCGCGGGAGCGTGACGCAGGGGGAGAAATGCGTGCCCCTATGTACACGTTTTGCACCAAATAGAAAAAGTTAACGCAAGCCCTACAGTCAAAAAGCTTGAGTATATATAAAGCCCACATTGCCCACTCTGCTCACAAGCCATTGTCATTCCTCATAAACCCAGCAGCCCCATGTCCCAGGACCTTGGGCTGATGGGGAACACTGTTCTCATTGCATAATTATGCAGGGTCCTAAAACAAACAAACCACAGCCTGTCTTTATCAAAATTTTTGATATTTTGGTCATCAGGGGATTTTTTTCCCTTAACATTTGTAATTTTTAATATTGCACTAAAATTTTTCTCCCAATGATTACATTTTTTGGTGCCCCCTTAAATGTTTTGCCTCACTCACTTCCTCCTAATCCTAGCCCTGGTGAAGAATGACGATGTCGACAGTTTACTCACAAATGATTTATTAAAAAAATATATGTGTATAGGTATTCATTATACATGGGCTTACTTATATACATATATATTATATAGGTGTGTGTACACACCTGCACACATACATACGTGCATATACACAGACATAAGCAAATGTGGCAAAATCCTATCAATTGACGAACTGAAGTGACGGATGTACAAATATTCATTGTATTATTCTTGCAATTTTTCTGTAAGCAGAAAGATTTTCAAGATATAACAATGGCAGGGGAAGAAATTAATAAATGAAAATAAAAACCTGATATACATTTTTTTATATGTTAAACTCATGTTGAAAAATGAAGCTACTGTTTTGAGTGTGACCTGGGTCCTGTCCTGGTACTGACTCTGCTAAAGGAAGGAGATGATGTATTTCACATGCAAATGTCCATGCAGGAGCGGCCCCTGGCGAGGATTTGTGATGGGAGGAAACGTGAGGTCCTCCGGGCCCCCGAGAGCGCCCTTCCCTGACAAGGATTCATCCCTCAGGCAATGTCTCTGAAGTGTCAGCTCTCCTCTTTGTGTTAAGCGCATAAAATTGTCTCAGCAATGAGCGTTGTTACTGAAAAAAGTATTATCTGTAAACCCCAGGTTTGTTTGGCATGGCAGTATTAGAAATATCAGGGAGGAGGATTACTTTGGGAGAAATGGTTCCTTAATAAAATATGAACAAAAACTTAGAGATGTTGAATGACGTACCCAACCTTTTAAATCATTTATGGGCTTTTCAAAGAGTTGAGGTTTACATCTTCACGTGACACAGGCAAGCTAATTTTTTTAAAATAATGGGTCAAGGCAGATGATGGATACAGTCAGATAAATGATGGATGGACAGACGACAGACAGACACATGGTATGTAGATAGATATATTAGATGTCTATATAGAGAGACAGATGGCATATGAACAGATAATATGTGGTATTTGGCTATGCAAATACTTTTCCCTTAAAATGATTCATTATATATATATTTAAAATTATTTTATACTACTATTTGAAATAGTTTTCTTAATCAGTAAATATCACTTCCGAACATCTAAGAAATAATTCAAACATTTTAAAAGATTTATAAAAAATGAAGTTCAGTGCTTCCCTGGTGGTGCAGTGGTTGAGAGTCTGCCTGCTGATGCAGGGGACACGGGTTCGTGCCCCAGTCCGGGAAGATCCCACATGCCTCAGAGCGGCTGGGCCTGTGAGCCATGGCCGCTGAGCCTGCACGTCCGGAGCCTGTGCTCCTCAACGGGAGAGGCCACAACAGTGAGAGGCCCGCGTACCGCAAAAAAAAAAAAAAAAAATGAAGTTCACACTAGTATTATTTAAAACAGCAAGAAATTAGAAATAATCTAAGTATCCAACAATATGGAAATAGCTAAGAAATATGATACAGCCATTTTGAAGGGTAGTTTCAAAGGGTTTGAAACTTAGAAAATCATTACAACATACTTTGTGTGGAAAGCAGGAATCAAAGAATACTTTTATAGCAAAAATAAACTAATGAGACCCAGTCAAACTTATAAGCTTTTTCACAGCAAAGGAAACAAAACGAAAAGACAACCTACAGGATGGGAGAAAATATTTGCAAACGATGCAACCAACAAGTGCTTAATTTCCAAAATATACAAACAGCTCATACAACTCAATAACAAAAAAACAAACAACCCTATCAAAAAATGGGCAGAAGACCTCAATAGACATTTCTCCAAAGAAGACATACAGATGGCCAATAGGCAGATGAAAAGAAGCCCAACATTGCTAATTATTAGAGAAATGCAAATCAAAACTACAATGAGATATCACCTCACACTAGTCAGAAGAGCCATCACCAAAACGTCTACAAACAATAAATGTTGGAGAGGATGTGGAGAAAAGGGAACAGTCCTAACACTGTCAGTGGAAATGTAAATTGGTACAGCCACTATGGAGAACAGTATGTAGGTTCCTTAAAAAACTACAACTAGAGTTGCCGTATGATACAGCAATCCCACTCCTGGGCATATATCTGGAGAAAACTCTGATTTAAAAAGATACATGCAACCCAGTGTTCACTGCAGCACTATTTACAATAGCCAAGACATGGAAGCAACCTATATGTCCATCGACAGACGAATGGATAAAGATGTGGTACGTATATACAATGGAATACTACTCAGCCATAAAACAGAATGAAATAATGCCATTTGCAGCCACATGGATGGACCTAGAGATGATCATACTAAGTGCAGAAAGACAGAGAAAGACAAATACCATATGATATCACTTGTATGTGGAATCTAAAATATGACACAAATGAACTTACGAAACAGAAACAGACTCAGACACAGAAAACAAACTTACGGTTACCAAAGGGGAAAGGGTATGGGGGAGGGATAAAGTAGGAGTTTGGGATTAGCAGATACACACTACTATATATAAAATAGATAATAAACAAGGACCCACTGTATAGCCCAGGAAACTATATTCAATATCCTGTAATAAACCATAATGGAAAAGAATATGGAAAACAGTAGACATATGTATGTATCACTGGATCACTTTGCTATACACCAGAAACAAACACAACAATGTAAATCAACTATACTTCAACTAAAAAAATACTTTTGTAATAGGATTGCTATATATATATGTATATATATATATACATATATATATATTTTTGTGTGTGTGTGTGGTATGCAGGCCTCTCACTGTTGTGGCCTCTCCCGTTGCGGAGCACAGGCTCCAGACGCGCAGGCTCAGCGGCCATGGCTCACAGGCCCAGCCGCTCCGCGGCATGTGGGATCTTCCCGGACCGGGGCACGAACCCGTGTCCCCTGCATCGGCAGGCGGACTCTCAACCACTGCACCACCAGGGAAGCCCAGGATTGCTATATTAAATCAGGCAAAGAAACAAACAAAAACCATCATGATGTACTGAAAATACACTGAAAAAAGTCACTAAAACCTTAATAGTAAAAATTAAATAATAAATGTTAGATACACACATGAATAGTTCTTTTAAAATTCTGTCACCCAGCCAGGGACCTTGCCTAATCAACTTATCTAAAATAGTGGCTCTCACCATCACTCTTTACCCTAATCTCCTTCATTTTTCTTCTTATTTCCTGACATGATGACACGTGTATGCTTATTCCTTGTTGCCTCCACTAGCACCTAAGCTTTTCGAGGGCAAGGACCTTGTCTTTTTCACAGCCTCAAACCGTGTCTGGCACATAACAGATGCTGAGTAAAAATGTGTTGAATGAATGAATTGAGAAGTTACCCTAGAGCACTTCAAATATGACTGAAATTGTGAGAAATCACACCACTTTGGGAATAAAACATTCCACATCCTGTGAAAAAAATGAAATAATCTATATTAGTGCTCAGAACCCCCAAAAGCAAGCCATATAATCTCATCTAAACTAGATGATTCATCTGAGGGTCTAATTCTAGCTTGATGGACTGGAAGGCTCAAAGGGAATCTAAAGACTATATCTCATGCCCAATCATAAATGGTAAAACATCACAACCCCAAGATGCAGGGATCGGGACTTGTACTGCATCCATTCTGGATCCAGAAGGATAGGTTCTGGTGAGTGATTCACACACGCACACACCCCTACCAGAGTTCGGAGGTTCGTACAAACGATTCATGAAATCCACGGTCTGACGTTTCAGAAAGTGGATGCAACAGCAGGATTCTAGACAGACTGAACACCCTAGGACATCCTGGGGCTTAACACAGACTTCAGACATTCAGCAAGATGCAGGTTGACCAAAAAATGCACTCCCGAGAACACTTTGAAGATAGAAAGTCTCTAATTCCTGCATATTCTATCATATGTATTTTAATTTATCAGTATTTTCCTTTAAAGTTTCTGCCTTTGGTATTATGATTAGAAAAGAGCTTCCCTTCATGTACATTCACGAAAATTTTATTCCAGTATTTTATACCATCGTTTAAAACGTTTTAACATTTTCCAAAAACCAAGATTCGTTTTTAGATGATGATGTGAAATAAGAATTTAATCTTTATCCCCAAATAGTTAACTAATTAAGATTAAGTTATGTGATATTCCAGAGTTGTGAAAAATCAGAAAAGGTCCAGAACAGTATTAACAGAAATATAATGCTAGCTACATGTGTGATTTAAAATTGGATTGTAGTCACACTTAAAAAGTAAAAAGAAGTGAAATTAATTTTAATAATGAAATGTACCTAATATATTCAAAATATTATCGTTTCCATGTGTAATCAGCATCAACGAGGACCTCAGTAAGTGCAAGTCTCAATTAACTGGGATGGTTTAAAGTATTTGGCTTTTTTATATATAAAATAAAACGCAAGAAAATAAAATTTGAGCAGAGATTTATTCATGGAAGGAAAGAAAGAAAGGGGGAAGAAGGGAAGAACTAAATCAGGAACCCATCTTCAAATACTTATATTCATCCTAATCTTACCCACCCAGATTTATATGTGTCTACACACTATTCAGAATGGTGATCCTTAATCAAAGATCATGAATCTTGAAAAACAGCCTATTAATTTCACCCTACTTCACAATTTTTTTAAGTTTCTTAACAACAAGAGCTAAAAACAGAAAAGTTTCTGATTGCCCCTTGGTTAAAGAGAACATTAAACTAACCAGGAGTTTTCATTCTCCACATGTGCCAGTCCATCAGGGATGTGCTCTAACTAGCTTAGCTCATTTGAGAGTCTAGCTGTTGGGTGTTACACTAGGGAGTCTAGCTGTTGGGTGTCTATACTAGGTACCCTGGGTACAGCAGGCAACAACCTGTTTATTTCCAAGTATCTTCCCGTGGACAGTTGGGACTACTGGTATAGGAGGAATTTTTCCAGTGGCTCCGGCAGATACAGTTTGTGGATGGTCTGATGACAGGTGCGACCCAAGCACTTCCGGACACACAGGCGGCACAGCTGGGAAAGAGCAGGCGGGCCTGAGGGAGGAATTAAAACGTGCGGTCACATAGGCGGTGTCAGGAGATGTGCTGGGGCCTGACAGTCAGGCCACAGGGACCTCCTGGCTCTAGCTGCCCATGCGGCGGTGCTGGCTGGGGCCCCACTCACACTCGGCGGGGACCTCCATTCTCGAAAGGATCCAACTCACTTAGACCCCATTATACCCTGGATCTCGGTCTCATGGGGTCTCATGGAGTCATCGTGCCCAACCAAGGCTTTGAGTCCCGAAGGAAAGCAAACTAACCAGTGTCCAAAATATGGTTGAATAGGCTGACTGAGCATTTGGCTGGGATCCTTGTCACACAGGGGCATCTGTAATAATGCCCCATTATTTCCTTACCTGACTGTATCAATAAAGATCAATGCAAGTAGATCTATGTGATTACTGGACTACACAAAGTTTTCCTTTTCAAGAAAATCCTATTGTCACAGCGTCTAGCACCCCATGAGAAATGGTGACTACACAGGCAAATAAATAGCTGCATGACACTTGGATTGATATTGCCAAGGAGCATCCATGTGACAGAACGCTACCTGGAGGAGCAGACCATCGCCCTTCCTTAAAATCTTGGGAAGCAAGAATGCAAAGTGTCTCTCCTATCACACAACAGAGTGACCTCTGACATAGCTGCTGTTCATCCTTCTAGAGCAAACAGCTGTATTTATGAAGACAGAGACAGAGGAACTTGTTTAGAAGAAATATGAATCCTGGACCTGGAAACATTTTTGATGGAAGCAAACAGGAAATGTGACAACTGCTATAAACCATATTCTCAGCTAATAGTTGTTAAGTGTCCCATATTTCCAAACTGGGAGCTGGTAAGGAAGGTGCTAATTCTTCCAGTAGAGGTTCAAATCAAAGAACAATCATTAATGACACAGACTACTGGAAATAATCTAGACCCATCTTACTCAAAGTGACCTCAGACTGGCAGCAGCAGCTTCACCCGAGAGCCTGGTGGCCGTGCAGCGTCTGGGACCCCACCCCAGAGCTCCTGAATCAGAATCTGCATTTTAAGGAGATCCCCAGGTGATTCATATACACATTGAAGCTTAAGAAGCACTGGTCTGGAGATTATTCCTAAAACTATTGAACCAAGCATCCCACTTGGAAGGTATACAAGACATGGGGGCACTTTCACAAAATGGAACTGGTGAGTGAAATTAAACTCTTCCTCACTAGAAATTGTTTCAGAAGATTCAGGATTGGGGTATCAAAACATTAAGAGTGCACATTGGGGCTTCCCTGGTGGCGCAGTGGTTGAGAGTCCGCCTGCCGATGCAGAGGACACGGGTTCGTGCCCCGGTCCCGGAAGATCCCACATGC